AAGGAAAAAGTTGTGCTTTAATTTTAAAGTACGATGTTGCAGTATATCATTTTTAGTTTCCATAAATGCGATTCATTATTTATTTATTCAACTCGCACTATGGGATTGCCCATAATAGTCAAGAAGAAGAGTGCCTTGAGGTGGTTGTGACATGGTTTTGACAACCAGACCGGATCTACAAGTTCGACTGACGTGGACTTGGAATAACTAAATTATGCTTTTGTGAAGTCCTGGAGAAGATTAATCACCTAGTCTAGTTGATCCTAAACTCGGGAAATCTAAAGAATGGTCAGATCTGAGAACCAGGTTAAACTGGTTTGGCCTAGAACCAGCTTGAACCAGCCAATCATAGCATAATGTGGTCACTACCCCTCACTTCTCTCTTCGGTCTTGTTGAGCGGCATGCGTGGGAGTGAGTATATGAGTTGAGTCTTGAAGGATACCATAGGAAGAATAACATGAATAGTTAGATGAGTCCTTACGGCTTAGTTCCCTTGCGTCGATTCCTATCCCTAGTCTCCTAGGACCTTCCTTGCCATAGGCATCAATAGCAATCAGGTCTAACTCCTAATTACTAATAGTAAGGACAGGGATAGAGATTCAATACCACACCACTGGACTATTGATCCCTTGCGAGAGCTGAATCAAGACCTTCTAGATAGAGTCAAGCAGCTTTCTCAACTCCTAATTGGTGTCCCTTCTCATTGCTTTGCCTTTGTGTTCGCCGTAGCTTGAGAGATGAACATAGCATAAAAGAAAGAACCAATCCAAGCTTGAACCGAAGTCAGCCAAGCCAAGCCAAGCCAAGTCATAAGTTAGGTCCGGTTCCGCTTCAATCAATGGAATCATGGCCTAGGTCCGACGACGGTAGCATGCACAAAAGCATCACTCGCCTCTGAGTTTGCCGACTATCGACCTAACGTGGCACCTAACTATCATGAGGTCTTTTCTTGTAGCCGGTACAGTCATATATTTTCTTTTCGCAATTCAATATTTCATTAATTGGTGAAAACGAAACGAAGTTCATCAAAATCCAAGATCTAATGAACCGAATAATTCGTCTTAAATACAAATTTTCAAATTAACGAGTCTTTGGCTCCCGAATATTCAACTGACCGATTTATTTATTATAACGTACTTTATTTTTCTTTGACAAATAAGCCAACATTTGTTGACGTTTCCCCATAATTTTACTCATACTTCTCTGGGATAAAAAGTCCTTTTTGTGCAGTTCCAAATGTGAAGGAAGTTTCTGTATCTTATCGATGAAACATAATACTTGAAATTCAACAGGCCCCTTTTTTTCTTCTTTTGAAAATAGATGATATAAACGAATTTATGACCATAAAATTCTTCTTTCTTTTTTTCCTTTTTTAAAGTTTTTGAATATTTTTTTTTGACTGGCACTGGAACAACCCTTCTTCTTTCTCGCAATCGGTTATCATGTCAAAATATTATTTAAAGTAGTGTTACTGATTTGTAAGTCAACAACACAAGTGATATGGTGCCATTAAGTCGTAGTTTAAACTTTGTATAATACTTTGTGTTTTGACCATAAAAAATTATCATGTGATTTTGGAACTTCCAAATGTTGGTTTGCTACTATTGTTTTCATATCCTATGATTTCTATGGTGTCTCCAATTCCTTAGTGAGCTTTATATCTTCTTAATGGGGGTCTTCACGGGGGCGGGTGTTTCTGTGCTTGTTATATGGGTCGGATCACAGTTGGAAATTGTGTGTTATCCCCCTTGCATTGCATGATGCTCGGTGTCCATGATGTTAAGAATAAGGATCTTGACTTTCAAAGAGTTTGAATGATCTAACATGAGGATAAAGAGATTTTTTTGTCTTATACCTTGGTTTGTTCCCCTTATACATTATTTGTATGGCTGTAAAGGTTAGTTTTCAATGAAAGAAGATCCTTTGGTTGTATTTTATTTATAGGCATGCTGCTAGTTTCATGTTAGTGTGATCTGGTGGTGCTGTTCTTGAGTATGTTTATACGGACTGATGTATAATTTCTGTTAATATCTTTGTCCTGAGAACATATGATGATGTATAAGTTTGAGGAACACAACAAATTTTACTCTTAGGAGGTCCATCATTAGGTCATGAATCATTTGTTGTCCTCTGATCTTTGTCACCTTGAAGTTTGATTTAGAGGGTGTGAACTTAACTTCAAAAAAGCAAACACCTACGTGGTGATTTTCCAGTATTTTTGCTTTATTTCTTGTTTGTAAAAATTATACGATCCTTTGTTTCTGAGTCCGCTTCATTATTGCAGGTGGCGAGCATTTTTGTTCCTACAATTGTCGCAATGGCATTGCTGACATTGCTGGGATGGTAAGCATTGTAGAAAAGATAGCAATTAAATTAGAATGTGAAGATATAAATGCTCCTTCTATTTTTTGCAATTTTCATCCAAGAAACATAACTTCTGGTCGATATCTCGGGCATGGTTGCTTCAAATTGCATTTTGAAGATCTCTCAATTGTCTAAGAAGGCTATTTCTAAGTTTTATTCAATCATTTTATTGTTCTAGGCCTCAAATCTTAGTTTAAAGTATAGGCTTGAAAATAGTAACAACATATGTGACTAATTATTATTTTTTAATTATTTAATTGTCAAGGGTAGATTTGTCATTTGCAGATTGTTATATTTCCTTTAAAGTTGGGATTCGTGTGGGAGTCTAGAATTGTGTATTTTGATGACAGTTGTACTTGAATTTCCTTGTGGCATTGGACTCTTTGTGAAGAAGTTTACAAGTTCATAATGGATGGCTAGGATTTCATAGGAACTTTAGGGTTTGAGGGTTCAAAGTTATTTAAGTAGTGGTGTTAGGGAATTGAGAAAAGACTTGAACTATTCTCTTGTGATTGATTCTTCTGAACTTGAAGCTTGTGATGCGTCATTTATGTTGGATTCCTTCTCTAGCTACTTTTGCAAAATTTGGTGTTTGTTGGTTTGGTTTCTTGCATATTTGTTGTAGTTTTAAGGAATAAAATGTCATGGCTTGCAGGTCATTATTGAGTACCGTTTATGTTCCTTGATCTTTTATAGGTATATTTGCGGTAAACTTGGAGTATATCCAGAGACTTGGCTACCCGAAAATAGCAACTACTTTGTATTTGCACTTATGTTCGCCATATCAGTTGTGGTGATTGCATGCCCCTGTGCACTTGGATTGGCTACCCCAACTGCTATCATGGTTGCAACAGGCGTAGGGGCTAATCATGGAGTTCTTATAAAGGGAGGAGATGCTTTGGAGAGGGCTCAGAAAGTTCAGTGTGTTGTCTTTGATAAGACAGGTACCCTCACGAAGGGGAAACCTGCAGTTACAAGTGTTAAAGTTTTCTCTGAATGGGACCTTGGAGAATTTCTCACTCTAGTTGCTTCTGCAGAGGTAATTTGAGATTCGAATAGTTTTTGGGATTTTAATATGACATCCTGTGTTTAGCATCGGAAAAATGTACCATATTCTACTGGAAGAAAACTATACTCTATTTTGGTCATCACCATCCAAAGAAATGAGAGAGAGAGGCGGGGGGGGGATCCACCAGAATGAGGACATGGCCTCTTTGGGCATGTCTCACTCACTCTCCATCACGCCATTCATTTTTGGATAGTGATGATCCCAAATGCCATTGTTCTCTACAGTCCATTGGATTGTTGTGTACCCCTTTTGATTCAGCATTCCCTGAACCTTATACTTGAACTGAATTTGTAATTTGCCCTCTTTCTTTGATGATTTAGGCTTGCAGTGAGCATCCATTGGCAAGGGCTATAGAGGATTATGCCTATCATTACCATTTTTTTGGCGAGGCTCCTACGAGTAAGAATGTCATACAGAGCAAGGGCTCGAAAGCCTCAGGATGGTTGCATGAAGTCGAAGGGTTTTCTGCCATGCCTGGGAGAGGCGTGCAGTGTTCAATACATGGTAAAATGGTTTTGGTGAGTTGTCAGGCTAAAGCATATTCATAGTTGTCATGCTTAATGTTTGGCTGTTGTATTGTTGATGCCAATAAAAAACAAATATTGTGTTCTTTATATATGTATTTCCTCAGTAGATGTTGATGAATGACACATCTTTTTCAGGTTGGTAACCGTAAACTGCTCTCTGAGGCTGGTATAACAATACCATTACAGGCTGAAACTTTCTTGGTGGAGATGGAAGAATGTGCAAGAACAGGCATTCTTGTTGCATATGATGGAATTCTGGTCGGTGTTCTGGTGGTATCAGATCCTCTTAAACGAGAGGCAGCTGTTGTCATAGAAGGTTTAAAAAAATTGGGTATTGAACCAGTCATGGTAACTGGCGATAATTGGAGGACGGCGAGAGCTGTTGCTAGAGAGGTATAGAACGTTATTTAATATTTTAGTGTCTCTTATTGATTTTTGGTTGATTGGGATGAACCCATAACTCTGATAAAAGAAATATACTGAATTTATTATGCATAACTTGATTGGGATGAACCCATAACTCCATCGCCGGACAAGGATTTGAGGTGAGGCTTTATTTTGTTTTCATAATAGCTAGGCCTTATAGAAACCTCATCCTTAATAAAAATTGCTATTTACAATGACAAAAGTGGGTTCACGGAAGCTAGAGTTTGTGTGACTCCTATTTTTATGTATGACTCCTATTTTTTTTGGGAGGTTAACGCATACATTTGGCCCCAGTTGCTATGGAGGTTTGGAGAAAGTGAGGACATTATGGGAGAACATTTCCATTTTTTTGGGAACTTTGGTTACTGAAGTTTCCTATTTTAATTGGAAAGCAATTAAGAAGACTTCTTTCCTGTTTTTACGTGAATATTAAAAAGTGGAATTTCAAGGATGAGAGATAACTTTTGATGGGATTTCTTAACAGAAGAATTAGATAGATGGGGATTTCACATTGCACAGGTTACATACTTGTCTACATATGCATGTTTATGTACCCCGTGTGTGTGTGAGCCTCTGTATCTGTATAACTTGAACTGAACCCTAGGCTATAAGACAATGGCTGTGATGTGTTTGTGCAGGTGGGTATAACAGAGGTGAAAGCAGAGGTAATGCCTGGTGGCAAAGCCGAGCTCGTGCGCTCCCTCCAGAAAGGAGGCACCACTGTTGTCGCCATGGTCGGTGATGGAATCAATGACTCCCCCGCCCTCGCGGCTGCCGATGTCGGCATGGCCATAGGTGCTGGGACTGACATAGCCATAGAGGCGGCTGACTATGTCTTGATGAGGAGCAACCTCGAAGATGTAATCACAGCCGTTGATCTCTCAAGGAAGACCTTTGCTCGCATTCGATGGAATTATGTGTTTGCAATGGGATACAATGTTTTTGCGGTTCCTCTTGCAGCTGGGGTTTTATTCCCATATTTGAAGTTGAGGTTGCCTCCATGGGTTTCTGGGGCATGCATGGCTCTTTCATCTGTAAGTGTTGTTTGTTCTTCTTTGCTTCTGAGGAGGTACAGGAGACCTAGGCTCACCACCATTTTGGAAATTACTGTTGAATAGTAGTGAAATAGGTTCAAACCCATCAGCTCAGCTGTTGCAACCTTGAGGTAGGTTGGTGGTTTGAGCCGTAGTTACCATTCATAATGAAAAAACAGAGAATTTAGTATGTAGAAATTTGATTCGATAAGTGGGCTTTGTGCGATAGGTCACCTTGAAGGCAATTCTTGTTGCCACTTGTAATCTTGAGGTCATCGGTTTTGATTCCCATCAAAAGGAAAAGAAAAAAAGAAAATGATGTTTCTTGTCTACTCCTCCTCCTCGTGGTGGTTGCTCTCTTTTGTATGGGTGGGGTTTGTATAAGGCTCCAACCGAAAGTAATCGTCTCCTCGAAACATGCTAAAAGATGCAGTTTTCTTGTCAGATATCTATGTGTTGCCTGAAAATTTATTTTCAAGTCATAGAGTAAAATTTAAAGTTTTTTTTTTTTTGATCAAGCAGATCAAGACATTCTTGAATCTTGAAAATAGATAATGTATTACAAGATGCACAGTTTTCAGGACTTGAAATCTTTTTTTGTTATCCATACATCTATAGGTTGAGATGATACATTGGAAGGGTTCTACCTTTGGAATGACCTTTTTCAGTGGGGTTTTAAGGTGCACATTACCTTATAGTATAAGGTGGAATCTTGTGTAATTTATTTATTTATTTTTTGTAGGGATTTTTTAGATACCAAATGAGTTATTATTTTAGAAAATTTATTTATTTTTGAAAAAAGTTTATATAAGGCATATGCGTGCATATCAAGTATCTACTAAAAATAGTTGTTTTAACAATGGAAAATTCTCTAATCGATCATCTCAGCCTCAAGATGTATAAAGAAAAAAAAAAGATTCAAGTCCTAAAAATTATGCATTTTGTAACGGTGTTTACACTGCTTATTTTCAACATTTTTTGGTGTGTTTATAGATTTGCTTGATTTGTATTATTTTTGGAGTTTTAAATTTCATAAATACATATGTAATAGATTTTAGGCTATATCTGGTACCAACATTGCATCTTACAAGAGGGTTTGGAGGTGCGCCTTTGATACAATCAAGGTCAATGCTTTGTATAAGCCCCACTTTTTTTTCTTTTTTTTTTGCCTTTTTCCTTTTCTTATATTGAGTTTTGTTCCTTGTTCAGTTTTTTTTTTTTTTTTGCCATTATCTTTAAGGAGTAACTTTTATTTCTTATATAATAATATTTTGAGTGTACTTTTTGTCATTAGTGATGGTTAGTCTAGATATAATATCTTATTAATATTTGAAATGCAATTAAATGCTTGAGACATGGATGATCGTATTCTCCATGGTAGAGTTAATAAATATTTTGGTATCTACTTAAAACTTTTTACTTTTAACTTTGATAAAATTACCTACCCTATCATAAAATTTAATTTCAGATCAAAATTCCTCTTCTTATTTTTTTATTGTTAATTATATTAAAATAAGGAAAACTTCACTGAGAAAAAGAAACCCCTCCATAACAAAAATACCTTCTGGCTTGAAAGAGAAAAATCTCACCAAATACCCTTTCATACAACATAGGGAAGAAATCCGCCATATGATGCTCAGGTTCCAATGAAGTTTTAGTCTAAGCAAGTTCTGCAAGTCTCCCTTTGTATTTGGAATCTCACCCTTCACTCGATATCTGCGCACATGAGCTCTGCAAGTCCCTGATTTTAGCCTGAATCTTGCTGGATAACCGTTCCGATTCAAGTTATAGGACACTCGTGCTCAGTTGGCTGAGATATTCGAGTGTATAAGCACACAGATTGTTAGATCGCAATGACATTATTTCCAATGAAGAAAATTTGATCAGATTGATCAGAATCTCGCCGAAAAATCGATTTGTTCCTATAGAGAACCCTTCAAAGATCTCAATGAATATTCGAAACAAAGACTGATCAAACTGACAATCCCTTGTTAACGGGGGAGATATTTCCATGTTAATCTGGTCCTATCAAGAGAGATGGTATCCACAGTCAATCTGTGATGAATTTTGCACAGGAATGAATGCACGTTGTCAACTGTCTGCTTGACCATGAAAATGATTTTCCTTTATTTTTTTTGTTTATTGATTTCACTATATGAGAGAGAGAGACAGAGAGTTATAGGAGCTTAATTATTAAGCTTCTCAACACTCCTACTTTTCAACTTAACAACCATGTAATAGAAGTTAAAATGGGATGTCAAAGAAAAACCAAACACAAGAAAAACTAGGAAAAAAAAAAGGTTAGACAAAAAAATTAAGGGAAAATATCTTCATAAGCCATATTTTTAACCATATTTTTAAGTTTCATTTATCCATAGAGCTAAGGTTTTAAAATCTATCTCACCATCTATGTTTTAAACCCCTTCCCTCTTCACGGGTTTTTCTCTCTCCTCTCTCTACAGTTTTCACTTTCTCTCTCCCCTCTGTCTCTTTACAGGCTTCTCCTTCTCTCTCCCTAAATCTCCCAAACACCCCTCAGTAACTCTCTGTATTTAAAAAATGGAGGTTTGAGCTGTGTTTTTTACGTTTGGAGTTTTGAAAAAAAACCAGTGGTCCTAAAGCTTATGGGGCTGGAAATAGTTTATCTTTCTAAAACGTTTTAAGATACTTTTCTTTAAAATTTGATATAGTTTCATTTTTTAGAATTTAAAGATATTTTTTCTTCTAAATTGAAATTTTGAAATAGTTTCTCTTTAAAAAAAAATTGATATAATTTTTCTCTTTAAAAAATTTAAATTGTTTCCTGTAAAGAGAGAGGCGAGAGAGAAAAACGGGGAGATATAGAGAAAGAGACGACTGTAGGGGAGAGAGAGCAAGGGGAGATAGAGGGAAAAACCGTGAAGAGAGGGGGTTAAAAAGTGATGTTATTTTTAACTTGTTTGGACTAAAAATATGGAGTAAAAATAAGTGAAGTTAATCTAGGGAGTGATTGGATATACTTAATAGATTCTCTATATGGTGAGATAGGTTTGAAAACTTTAGGTCCATCCAGAAAGCTTAAAAATAGAGCTTATGGAGATATTTTCTCAAAAATTAATCATAGATAAATTATAAGGGCAATGGTAGCACAGCCTTGTCTTCTGCGTCTCTCCCTCAAGATCTATCTATTGATGGAGATTAAGGACCCTAAAACCATCTAAACCCTACAAATTAATTTGCATCCTAGAAAAATGGATTTGGAGCTCAAAAAATGGTAAAAATATGACTATTTTAGGTTCCGTTGAAATGGATGGTCCAGATAATAAGTTAAGGTGGTATCACGATGGAGGAATTTTTTTTAGGGTAACACCCTTTTTCTGGCTGAGACCATGATGAAGTCTAGGACTTTATTCTTATAAAAAAAGATAGGGCCAAATCCCCTGATTCACCCAAAAAAGAAAGAAAATATCAATCAATCTTTGCAACATGGAGAATGCAAAGTTTTAGTTATGGGCATAAGTGTGGAACTGAGGTAGATGACTTTTGTTAAGTTGTAGACACTCATATTTGAAGTCACATTGATTTGAACTTAATGTGATCTACACACATAGAAATGTGGGGTCCTAGATCTCTCTTTTTTATACTTAAATGTGATTTACACTTGAGGAATGTAGGGTCCTATATCTGCCTTTTTTGGTTGAACCACGACAATGCAAACCAAAATGTTGTTCAAAGACACAAGTATAATTGTGAAATAAAAGCACTTGAACATGCAGGTTCAAAATGTCTGGTGATAATGGTGCAGGAACCAAACCCCTTGGTGTTCTTGAAAGATTAAATCCCTTTTTGCTCAATAAGGGTTTATTTGGGAAAGGGGCTGGGTCGTAGTGGTAGCACCTCCCACACTTTAGTTACCACGTTTTGGTTTCTACTCCTATTGACACTACTCTATTGGCTTCCCCACTGAATTACCCAAAAAGACACTACTGTATTGGCTTCCCCACTGAATTACCAAAAAAAAAAAAAAAGTTATGTTTGGACGTTCTTTCATACTCATTTTTATTTCTGATTGCCTTTTAGTGTATAGGTTTTTTTTTCAATGGGTGCAGCACAAGGTCGAGGCTTTATATATAAAAGAAAAGTTTCACTTCAAACCCACCGCAATATGTAGTTATGGCATCAGAAACTCCTACAATGGCCTGAAAATTATTTCTACCCCTGATTATGAAATTTAAATCTTTAAAGATGATGCAAATCTTATAAATGTGTAAACACTTGAAAATAGATGCACAACTCTTAAAGCTTGAAATCTTATTTTTATTTTCAGATTATAATTGCCGTAATCAAAATGACCAATTAAGGGTTTTCTTACCCCGAAACTACAAATTCCTTAGGGTTTTAAGGGATTCATTTTTTATTGTAAAACCTAGGCATTATAGAAACTTTTCGCTTTCGGTAATTATTGATGAATAGTTAATTTTCTTCTTCTTTTGTTCTTTCTTTTATCACTAATGCCAAAAAGGGGCCTATTGAGACTATTAGTAGGGCTCCGTTTCTTGATTAGACCATGCTATTAGACCATGCTTGGTAAGACTAAGGAAATATTATCACTATTAAGAAAAGAACCCGGCTTAATTGGTCAGTGCTTGATGATTTGTAGTGCTACGTCTTAGGCTCAATTCCTACCCAGGATAGGGGCCCTCTCTCTCTCCCCACTGACTCACCCAAATTTATTATTATTATTATTATCACTATTGCTAAAACGGGGGCATGCAAATGAAACCTAAATGAATGAATCAAACAATTTTTTTCTTAGCCAATGGATCTTAAGATTGCCCCAAATTTCGTTAACTCTTCATCATATCCATGTGCCAAGGTACCATCTTGGAAGGATGCCCCTCATTGTCATGTTATTATAATGATGTCTTTGTTCTTTGTCTCATTGGAAGCTTTTTTAGGCTTATGCTTGGTGTCAAGAAGTTGCCTTTCTATAATTGTGCTTCATTCTACCCTAGGCATGGGGACTTTGTTTGGCTTGAAATTTTGCTGCTGATGTAATGTTGGGTATCTTTAGGTATTTCTTGGTCATCAATTGCATTTGGTAGTCTCACCTCGAAATGACCATGGCCTCCACAATAATTGAATCTCCCATAACCACCCATGTAGGTTCCATTATTCTTACACCCATGAGAACTGTAAATTTTATCAGTATTGATGTTAAAACGATTCATGCACGCATGGAAAACATAAACAATATCCTATGATCCATAAAAAAATTCGGCTGCGAAAGCTTGCAATGAAATTGATTATGTCAATCGAGTTGCGCCACAAAATGTAGTTCTGACACCAAAAA